ATAATTAAGTCCAGGCCCGAATCAGACCAAGTGCTATAACTTTTCAAATTGGGCCCCAATTCAAAAAAAAAAAAAACAAAGACAATAAAGTGCCCAACTGAACAGAAATTGTGGACTTAGCCATTTTAGATCATATGCTCTAATCTGTTTATCATTTTCAGACTGAAATGGCTGCCAACACTCCAATCAACATGATCTATGCTAGGGAACAATGGATCCCGATCAAGGAGAACAACTCACAGTTAGACCCCGAAGTGTTCTCATGCCAAGATGACGTGGTCGTCTCCATTCTGAAAGGCCACAAACTGTGGAAAGCACTGAGCGAGAACGCTGAAGTCCCTCAGGTGTATCTCCAACAATTCTGGGGTACACTTGACAAGGACGTTGATGCAAATGGCAGGCAACTCGATGATGTACTAGCTGCCACGATCTGCAACACCAGAGTCACAATCACGAAGGAGCTAGTCCAACAAGTGCTACAGATCCCGGAGGAGGAACATTATGACGCGTTGGCCTCAGAAGCGCAAATCTTTGAGGACATGATCACTCTAGGCCACGCTGAGCCCCTCCGGTTGATGTCCGCGATCAAGACAGCAAGATTTCCACGACCATGGAGGACACTTATGGCCACACTAAACAAGTGCTGCACATCTAAGCACAGCGGCTTCGACAAATGCAGTGGCTACCTCGTCTACATCTTCCACGGCATCGCTTTCATGAAGAACTACGACTTCACCTCACTAATCTGGGGTGACATTCTGGAAATGCGAAGAAGAAAATTTGAAACTGATCTGATCAAACATCTGCCATACATGAGATGGTTTTCATTGCTGGTGCGACACTTCTGCAGAACAATTCCAACTATTCAAAGACGCAAATCATCTGAGAATGTCAGCACTCCAGCCCTACAATACTTGAAGAGAATGCCAGAGGTACGCACACTGGTACCTCTACCTATTCCTGTTCCTCTCCTCCTGCTAGCCGGTCGAAATGATCCACACGTTATACGCTACAGCGAGGAGAACGGTATCATACTCCCTATGGCTCAGATAAACCCCCTTGAGTCTACCCCGGGGAGTCAGCCGAGAGTAAGTGAGGGTCCTGAGAGTTCAACCCAGCCACAGAGACCAGTGGCAAGCCGGCCCCATGATGATCAGACTATGTCTGCTGAGGGCCACACCCGTGCTGAAGAGTTTACCCGTGATTCGCCAAGCGTAGCCACAACACAAGACGCTGACGATGAGGGCTCTGGGAGCAAGGCTAAGAACGACAACGATGATGATGATGAGGACGACGACAATGCCAATGCAAAGGGCAAGAAAGTCGAGAAAGCCCGCGCTAAGAAAGGACGACTTGTTATTAGGCTTTCTCGGGCTACAACACAAGAGCAGTCTCACCAAATCAAGGGCACTCAAGGAAATATCATCAGTGAGACTCGCTCCAAGGTGCGTCATGACAATGCCTCATCATCTACTCCTATGCAAAGAGTGCAAACCACAAGCAACCTGGCAGAAGAGTTAGCTTTATATGACAGCTGCTCTGACCTTGACACAATAAACCGGGCTAACCCCATAGGTGCAGAGGCTGATATTTTCAGTCTCCGAGTAGAAGACGCAGCATCTAGCCCAACTGCGCATGCACAAGCCTCACCCAGCCACTCTGCTGCCTCCCAACAGGTAGTAGTTTCACAAATAGGGGATCTTTTACCCACCTCGTTGCCTCCTTACGAAGCAGCTGAGGATTTACTTTGTGGTCTTCCGCCCCAGACCACTACCCCTCCTTCTAGCACATTGAGTCTAGTTTCCACCATCCCAACTTTTTCAACATTTTCTAGGACACATACACTTCTCACACCACCGCACACGACAGGTGCACTCTACTTGTCCTCAACGATCGGAGATACGTCAAGGATGATCGGAAGTCCTGCTGCACAACAGATAACTCCATCATTATCTGCAGGCCACACTTCGGTAATTTTTACTGATGCTGTGACAACGGTTACTACCCCTGTAACCGGTAACCCTGACCCCACTGACATTTCTGTCATTCTGCAGCGTTTCTTGGATTCCACCATTAAACCATGGGTGCACGAAGCAATAACCGCTCGGGCACAGGAATTCAGGAACACCCCGACGTTGCTAAACGACATCACCCAACCTCAACCATCATCCTCACATACCCAACAAACCCAACCACTTCCTATCATACCTACCCAACAAACCTCTGAACCATCCACAACCCTACCCCACTCACCTACTGCTTCAAGGGGAACCCAGGATACAGAACTAGTGTCCTCCCCTACTTCGACCACACCTTTCCCTGACCCTAAAACTTTACCGTTCGAGGTACTCGAAACCCTAATGCTAGATCAACTACTAGCTACCGAAGAAGGCAACCTAACCCAGAAACAAAAAGACCTTCTTCGGATCCTTAAGCCTGATAGCTCATGCCGTGATAGTCTCCTCGGTCACAAACGTTCGCATGAGGACTCCGATGATTCGGATCCTCATGAGGGGGAGAACAAGAGACAAAGGACACTTGAGCGTGATGCGTCAACAAGCCAACCTTCTACACAATCCAACCAACCTGAATCCTCGAACAATCAGCCCCCATCATCCACTCAACATAAAAGCCAATCAGCCAATCAACCCACATCTAGCCCGGTCGAGCTAGAAACAACACTCCTAGGCTCATCTTTCATAGATGTAGACCAAGGATGGAGTGGAAGTCCTGAGGTTGCTACTTCGAGTACACCTTTCTATTCAGGCCATCAGAAAGAACCTAGTTCTAATCTGATGATAACGGGCAATCCTGAGGATCCCGGTGTTTCACATGACAGGTCGCCTTCGACACAACAACAAGTTCACTCTAAGCCCTCTGGTAATCAAATACAAGATGAACTGGAAGACCTTCTAGTTCATGATCAGTGGCCTCGTGAGTGGACAGAGTGGGATGATCTTAGAGTGGAAGCGGAGCAGTACGAAATGTGTCGAAGCTGGCAACTCAGAGAATTTCTCAACAAATATCATGCACAAATGATTGGACTCGATGAAGATGAACTCAACGAAGAGGAGAATCATAAAGAAAATCCCAAGGCACCAGAACCAGTCAAAGAAAAATGGGAAATTGTTAGAATCAAAGCCCCCTTCCTAGAAGAAATCCGAGAGAAAATCTGGAGACAACCTGAAAAAATCAAGAAGTTCAGTGAATTAAAGATGCGAGGAATCAATCACTTGAAAGGAAAATACCGAGGAGGTAACCTGTATATGCTAGGACACAGATCCACAGGGGAACGAAGACAAGTTCTAAATCATAATCTTGCAACGAGTGGATGTCCTATATCGAAAATCCTAGATATCACAGAAGACTACTTGGAAACGATTAAGTTCCTGATCTTTCGTCTACGACGTACCGATGGCTCGGAGTTCACCTGTCAAGAGAATGACTTCTTCCTACTGCACATGGATGATATTTATCAAATGTTCATGAGATGCAGGGAGCTCCCAGTGCACAAAGACAGACTTGCTAGAGAAGGTTTTGAGGCCATTAAGAGATTCATGACAAGACAAGTTCGGTTCTACGCCTCCCATGATCTCCAGATGACTCTTGAGCACAATTATTCAAAGGCGAATCTTACACGACCGGACTTGGATAGACCTGGGCTTGAAACCTTTGCAGCATATGATACATTTGACAAGCCCATCTCAGTCATTTATCTGAATCACAAAGAAGAGAAGCGTCTGATGATTGTTGAAGACATTCAAAAATACTGTGATGGGACCCTGCAAATCATCCGAGAACAGCTCCAGCCAAGGAAAGAAGATCTAGATAAAAGACAGAGTGAAGCCTCGAAGGAAGAAATCAAAGAATTGGAAAGAGTCAATAAAATCTTGAAAGCCATCGAGAAACAACTTGACAGAAGAAGGTCTCTCAGAAATTACGAGCATGCACTCAATCTTAGAAAGCATTATTTTAAAGCTCAGAAGTGAAGAAAAGAAGAAGCAAGAACATCTGATCACAAAGGGGGAGATTGTTAGAGATATTTTCATTGTAATTGTGATCAATGTTACTTTGCTAGTTTATAGTTAGCTAGAATAATGAATAGGCCTTTTAAGGCAATTTTGTAATAAAGGTTCTATACCTTTTTAGGTATGGGCCTCCTAGAAAAGGGAGCCCAAAATAATTGTAAAACCTACCTTTCCCGTCAGGCTATATATATGCCTTAAGGGAAAGGCTAGGTTAAGCTTTTCGAAACATTCTGTGCCGCAGTGCCTATTCTTGTGTAAGGTTTTTACGCCTAAAAACTCTCATATCATTCTGTAAAACCTTCACATCAATGGAAAGCTTCATTCCCAGATCTATCTTCCATACATACATTTTATAGACTAGAAAACAGGGACCTAACACCTAGTATTTAAAAAGTACTTAACACTCAAACTTGGTGGAGGACCCTAGTACTTAAAAAGTACTTAACACTCAAACTTGGTGGAGGACCCTAGTACTTAAAAAGTACTTAACACTCAAACTTGGTGGAGGACCCTAGGACTTAAAGTCCTTAACACTCAAACATGGTGGAGGACCCTAGTACTAAAAAGTACTTAACACTCAAAAACTTGGTGGAGGACCCTAGGACTTATGAGTCCTTAACACTCACAAACCGGTGGAGTATCCAAGGATTATGATCCTAAAACTCATAGATTATGATATACAAATAGGGACAAGGAGGAGTCCTATACACTCATAGGTATATGGGTGGGTTGGGGTTTTTGGTCAAGAATATTGACTATTACTATTTTTCCCAAATGAACGGTGATCTACGGATCGGATATTTTCCAAGTATAAATATACTAATAAGTATTTCATAACTTGGGGGAAAGACTATTTATTTAAGTATCACCCTATGTTTGGGTCTTATACTTGAAACGCTAGTTATTCTATATTTAGCCTGCTACTCGCTCGGTACTTGTACTGACCCCTTCGGGGGGCCCCACCATTTTCAGGTTGAAGCTAGGGCTTGCTACTTGCACCTTCTCACGGGTGATATCAAATCAGGAAGACGTGGTTCGTGCTTCCTTATTTTCTTTCAAACTACCGAACACTTGCTCATGGATATTTGTTCTACTATAAACTATTTTTGGGGCTTGCATGCCCATGTTGTTGGCCGGTTGTGGCTTATGATTTACCGTTGAATATTTCCGCTATTCATTGGTTTAAATGTGATGTTGTTATGTATGTTTACTACTGAGTATGGATGGATTGTTTTCTCGAACGCCTTGTGTAATTAAGTGGGGTTGACTCGCGGGTGACGTCACTTAATTATACGGCGGTTGTACACGCGCTTGGATTTCGGTCTGGGGCGTGACAATTAAGTGGTATCAGAGCCATCTCAGTTCTAAACTATATGATCAACCTCTCACAAAAATTTTACAAAAGAGTTTTTACCGAAAACCATGAGCATAGTATTTTGACGTTTATGGGACTATTGGTGCTTAAGTTGCAAGGCCTCTAATTGTTAAGACGGTACCCTTAACAATTGGTATGGTAGTGACTTGGGCCAATACGTGTCTGTAACGTTCTTCCGTCAATTGACATTTATTGGAGTCTAATGACTCATCCATATTTCTTTCAGAAATGGAGGGCAGGCGAATGGCAACCAGGAACAATCCGAGAGGGCGGGCGCCGGTAGCGTCCCAAAGGGGAAGCCGGGCTGCATCTCGGGGTTCAAGAGGAGGCCGTGGAGGCCGTGGAAGCCGTGGAGGTCATCAAGCTCAAACTGTGAGTGATGGCCATGTAAGCTCGGTGTATGAAACCAACACCGAGGACTATGACTCAACCTACGTTCCAGAAACGGAGCATGAGGAGACCCCGTATGATGGGGGGGATACATACACCGATGATGACGATGAGAGTGATGCCCGGTTCGCCCAAATGGGTGAATTACTTGAGTGGTATCAAAAAGAGAAACTGAGGAGAGACCTTAGGCGCCAAGCGAGGCGTGGCTCTCGGGGAGGTTCGGGTCAAGGAAGCCGGGGAGCTTCCGTGGCCACCCCAGCGGCGTCACAAGGTGGGCGTGAAGGAGGTTTTGTTGTGAGAATCTCCAAGTACCTCAAGGAGGCTAGGGCCTTGGGGTGTAGGTCCTTTGACGGCACCGGTGACATTACCGTTGCCGCCGATTGGATTAAGAAGGTGAAGGATGCATCAAGGGACATGCAAATCACACCGGACGTGAAGTTGACTGTCGCTTCACGGCTACTTGAAGGGATAGCTTCTACGTGGTGGGAGAGCGTGGAAGGGAAGTACCATGGGGAAATAACATGGGCGGACTTTGAGCTAGAGTTCTATGCTTAATACTACTCCGAGTACGAGGTGAATGTGAAACGGAGAGAGTACACTAACCTTAAACAGAAAGAGGGCGGCACAGTTAAGCAGCTGGAACAAGAGTTTAGAACCTTGGCTAGGTTCTTACCAGAGTACGCGGTTGATGAGAACCGTATGACGGAGCACTTTTGGGATGCCTTACTCTTGGACATCCGTGATCGGGCTACGTACTCGCGCCACATGACCTTTAGCGAGGTGGTGGAGCAGGGCCTTCTTGGGGAGGCCCAATGGAATGAAAGAAAAGAGAGGGACGCCGAAGAGGCGAAAAAGAGGAAATGGCATGGTTCGGGGCCACCCGAGCAGGCACGGAGGGATAAACACGGCGGAGGTGGGGGTTCGTTCAAAACACCGGCACCACCGGCAAAGAAGAACAGGGATGCTCGGTGGCATGCATCCTCCTCTCAAAAGACGGGACCCCCTAGGTGTGCTAATTGTTCGAAAAATCACTTTGGGAAATGCAACGCACCCCCGAGGTGTTATCAATGTGGGAACACGGGCCACATGAAGGCCAATTGCCCACAACTAGGAGGAGGAGGAGCTCCGGGATCCGGAGGAGGAACCACGACGGGAAGGAACCGTGCGGGACCGTCACACGGTGGCACGGGGAGAGGCGGCGCATCAACGAGCCATGCCGCGTCCGTCAACCAAGGCGGGGCCCAAGCACGAGTATATGCTATGACCGAGGCCGATGCTCGGGCTAACCCCGACTCCGTCGCAGGTAATACACTTATTCTGGGCATTTCTAGGCTTACTTTGATCATATACGTCGTTGGGATTGAGTGCGGGCCACCCCGGGGTCAAACTCGGGCAAGTTAGGCCAAAGCAGCTGAAAACAGCCACTGCCGGCCAGGCACGGTCGCAGGCACGCCGTGCGTGGCACCGTGCCTGGAAGGCAGTCTCACCCCGGAGAAAAAAATCAGCCAGGCACGGTCGCAGGCACGCCGTGCGTGGCACCGTGCCTGGAAGGCAGTCTCACCCCGAAGAAAATTCAGCCAGGCACGGTCGCAGGCACGCCGTGCGTGGCACCGTGCCTGGAAGGCAGTGTCGCCCCGAAGGAATTCGGCCAGGCACGGCCGCAGGCACGCCGTGCCTGGCACCGTGCCTGGGAGGCAGTGTTGAGCAGGAAGGGTCCGATGCACGCACGGCCGTGCGTGCCACCCAGGCACGCCGTGCGTGGACCCCAGAACCCGGAAATCGGATTTTTCCGCCCCGTTCTTCTACGTTTGGACCCCCGTTCGATTCCAAACATTAGTATGAACCTAATAATCTTCCAAAGATGTGTAAAAACATTAGAAGATGTATCTCACATGGTGTATAAATGTAGGAACATTAAAGATCAATGGTAGGTGTGCGAGGATCCTCATCGATACCGGGGCACAACGCTCATTTGTGAGTGAGGCGTTCGCCGAGGGCATTGACGTGCCATTGACACCTATGACGCAAACGTTGCTAGTCTCCACACCGTTAGGAGACGACGTGGAGAGGAATCATTACTATCCGTCGTGTGAGGTAGAAGTGACGGGTCAACCTTTGACTTGTGATTTCGTACCTCTAAGCATGTTGGAGTTCGATGCAATCCTAGGAATGGATTGGCTTGAGAAGTACCATGCTCGAGTAGATTGCTACACCAAGGTGTTGGAGCTCGAGGATGAGCAAGGAAACATGCTACGTTTTGAAGGAGATCGGGGGAAATCTAATGCTTGTATCATATCCGTGATGAGAGCACGAAAGATGATGAGGAAGGGATGCCACGCATACCTTGCTTACGTGGTAGATGATACGAAGAAAGAAGTCGACATCAAGGATGTTCGAGTCGTGTGCAAGTACCCGGACGTCTTTCCCAAGGACCTACCGGGGCTTCCACCCGATAGAGAGATTGAATTTGTAATCGAAGTGGAGCCGGGAACCAAACCCATTTCGATTCCTCCTTATCGAATGGCACCGGCCGAACTTCAAGAGTTGAAGGTCCAGCTACAAGAACTATTGGACAACGGGTTCATCAGACCCAGTCATTCACCGTGGGGAGCACCCGTACTATTCGTAAAGAAGAAAGATGGTACACTAAGAATGTGTATCGACTACCGACAGTTGAACAAGGTCACCATCAAGAACAGGTATCCCTTACCGAGGATTGATGACTTGTTCGATCAACTTCGAGGAGCAATATTGTTCTCGAAGATTGACTTGAGGTCGGGGTATCATCAGTTGAAGATCAAGGAGAGTGACATACCTAAGAGTGCATTTCGCACTAGATATGGTCATTATGAATTCCTTGTGATGTCGTTTGGTTTAACCAACGCACCGGCGGCATTCATGGACTTGATGAACCGTGTGTTTAGTGAATACTTAGACCAATTTGTGATAGTATTCATTGACGACATCTTGATATACTCCAAGAGCGAGGAAGAGCACGAACACCATTTGGGGCTTGTACTTGATCGGCTAAGGGAAAAGCAACTCTTCGCCAAGTTCTCCAAATGCGAATTTTGGCTCAAAGAGATTGGTTTCCTCGGTCATGTCATATCCGGTTCAGGTGTTGCTGTGGATAACGCCAAGATAAAAGCGATCATGGATTGGGAGAGACCCAAGAATGCGAAGGAGATACGTAGTTTCCTTGGCTTAGCGGGATACTATCGTAAATTTGTGGAAAAATTCTCCGTATTGGCGTCCCCATTAACGAAGCTCACAAAGAAAGGGGCCAAGTTCATATGGGACGACAAATGTGAGAAGGGGTTCCTTGAATTGAAGAAACGACTTACCGAAGCACCAGTCCTTGCCCTACCCATACAAGGGATAGGGTATGACATTTATAGCGACGCTAGCATCCAAGGGCTTGGATGTGTACTGATGCAAAACGGTAAGGTGATTGCCTATGCTTCTAGGCAATTGAGGAAACACGAGGTGAACTACCCTACTCACGATCTAGAGTTGGGGGCGGTAGTGTTTGCATTGAAGATTTGGAGGCATTATCTCTACGGGGAGACGTGTCACATTTATACTGATCATAAGAGCCTGAAGTATGTATTCACTCAGAAAGAGTTGAATATGAGGCAGAGGAGATGGATGGAGTTGATCAAGGACTATGACTTGATCATCGACTATCATCCCGGAAAGGCCAATGTAGTGGCCGACGCACTGAGTAGGAAGAGTACGTCGGGGACGCTACTCACATGTCTACAGGCATTGAGGGCGCACGTGGAGGTATCCACGAGCGGGGCGCTCATTGCTAGGTTTGAGGTCAGACCTACATTGCTGGGTGAGATCAGTAGATGTCAGGCCATTGACGAGGAGTGTCAGAAGATTCGTGAACGAATCATTGAGGGGCCTGTTGAGAACTTTCGAGTACGTGACGATGGTCTATTATTGTTTAAGGATCGTGTGTGCATACCAAAGAAGGAAGACCTCCAGAAGTCTATACTTGAGGAGGCTCATTCTTCAGCTTATGCTATGCATCCAGGAGGCACTAAGATGTACCGGGACCTGAAGGAAAGTTACTGGTGGTCGGGTATGAAGAGAGACATCGCCGAGTATGTGAGTCGATGCCTTACTTGTCAGCAAGTTAAGGCAGAACACCAGCACCCGGCAGGACTCTTACAACCACTCACCATCCCGGAATGGAAGTGGGAACACGTGACCATGGACTTCGTGGTGGGGCTACCACGAACGGTGAACAACTATGATGCAGCATGGGTAGTGGTTGATAGGCTCACCAAGAGTGCACACTTTCTGCCTATCAACATTACTTGTCCTCTTGAAAGATTGGCCAAGCTATATACAGAGGAGATTGTGAGATTACATGGAGTCCCAATATCCATTGTCTCGGATAGGGATCCACGATTCACATCCCGATTTTGGCCAAAGTTTCAGGCATCTTTGGGAACTAAACTGAAGTTTAGCACAGCTTTTCACCCACAGACCGATGGACAGTCCGAGCGGGTGATACAGATTTTGGAAGACATGCTTAGGGCAAGTGCGTTGGAGTTCCAAGGAAGTTGGGACAAGCATTTGGCCCTAGTGGAGTTTGCCTATAACAACAGTTATCAGGCAAGTATCGGCATGCCCCCATATGAGGCATTGTATGGGAGGAAGTGCAGAACACCGTTGTGTTGGGACGAGGTTGGCGAGGCCAAACTCGAAGGGATAGAGCTGGTTGAGATCACCAAGGCCAAGGTAAGGATCATTCGGGATAGATTGAAGGCTGCTCAGGACCGACAGAAGAGTTATGCTGATAAACGGCGGAGACCGTTGGAGTTCGAAGTCGGTGATGAGGTCTTCCTAAGGATTTCTCCTTGGAAGGGCATCATTCGATTTGTATCAAGAGGAAAGCTTAACCCCCGATACATTGGTCCATTTGAGATCCTTGAAAGGATTGGAGCCGTGGCTTATCGTCTCAAGTTAACGCCGGAACTTGAGAAGATACATGATGTGTTTCATGTATCAATGCTCAAGAAGTACATACGAGACCCATCTCATATTCTTGAGAAACCACCGGTGGAGATCCGAGAGGACTTGCATTATGCGGTGGAACCAGTGAAGATTGTTGGTCAACAAGTGAAGAAGCTTAGGAATAAGGAGATTCCTATGGTAAAGGTCCTTTGGAGGAGTGATCGAGTCGAAGAAGAAACTTGGGAGACCGAGGTCTCAATGAGGGAGCAATACCCATTTCTTTTCGATTAGATACTTGGATTTCGGGGACGAAATCCCAAATAAGGGGGGGTGAACTTGTAACACCGTCCCCAAATATATTTACTTTCATGTAAATAATGTATTGAACCTTATTAAAGGATTAATGAATTTACGAGGTTGTAAATTTTTATTATTTCTTTCGCGTGAATAGTAAATTGCACGTGGGACCCACACCGGGAGCGGGGGCCGCCCGACACTCCCGAGACCACATATTTTATTCATCTTAGTCAAGATAATATTTATATAGTGGTGAATATTTTATTTGGGTCGTGGAAGGGCGCAGAGTTGACCGATTGGGAAAAAGAGGCCCAATTACCGGTACCGACAATTTAACAGGTAACAACCCGGAAATGAATTTCGGAGGCTTATAAATTAAAGTTGGGGAAGGTATATTCATTATACATGTCATAATGAGCAAGGGCACATAATATATTTTATTTGACCCGATAAAATAAAATATATTTAAAACAGTCCGAAAAATACAACTTTCGGGACAAATTGTACACATCGGGACACAAAGGGATGACCTCCCACATGAGTGGGGGCCACCCCACGTTTTTGTGTGCAAGGGTTGACTAATTGGTGCCATAAGGACACATGAAGGATGGGTGATAGGATGGGAGGAACATGGTTGAAAGGTAATGGACCCCTTTCCACCCACTCATTGGCTAAAGGAGACAAAACCCACCTCTCCACCCTCTTTCATCTATCATGCTCGACCAACCAAGCAAAAGGAGGAAGGAAGGAGCTTTGCAAACCATTCCCATAGCTGAAAATTCGAGCTCAACCTAAGGGAGTCCAAAGAGGAAGATAAAAGAAGGAAAAAGTTGGGGAAAGTGTGATTTATTAAGGTAATGACCTTATTATAACTCTTCCTTTAATTTTCTTCTACCATATGAAGTATATATCATATTAAGGACCCTTAATATGGTTCCACATGTTATAAGTATGGATTTATGGGTTGGAAAGTGGTTCTATGTCCAAGAACGGACTTAGAAGCCAAAACGACCGGTTCACCGGAAAATAACCTTTTTGAGGTTATTTGTATTAACATGGGTTTTATGATTATAAAACCTTGTTAGGCACTTGTAAAGGGTATTTCAAGTGATTTCACAAAGTTGGAAAAAGTCGCCGGAGTTGTCGCCGGAGTTGACCAAGTCGCCGGAGTTTCACCGGAGTTCAACCAAGAAGGGTAGAACTTCTTAACGCTAGTTCAAGGTGAGTGGACGGCTTAATATCTTATAACTTTTGGGTTAATTATGAGATTACCTAAATAAATGTTATATGTGTTCATAATGATGTTTAAAAGATATTTAAACATGTGATTAGCCAACATTATTAAGTTGTATGAAAAGAATTAATTGTTAATGCATGAAATATGATATGAGGAATTGTATAAAACGCATATTAACTTGAAGTGTAAAAGAAGCACAAATGAGTATTATTAACTTAATTATATGATGATTAAGTTGATAGGTACAAGGCTTGAATTGGCGGTCAACGACAACGTTGACCGATGGATAATGGATTAATTAATATCGGTTGATATTGGTTAATTATACATTTATATAATTGCATGGCTTTGCATGGATTGTGATACATAAGATTTATGTATTGGATTAGTTATGAATAACTAAGGATGATATAGACTCTATCTAGGTTGATAGGAGGTTGATCATAGGAAAACTTGGTGGAGGACCCTAGTACTTAAAAAGTACTTAACACTCAAACTTGGTGGAGGACCTTAGTACTTAAAAAGTACTTAACACTCAAACTTGGTGGAGGACCCTAGTACTTAAAAAGTACTTAACACTCAAACTTGGTGGAGGACCCTAGGACTTAAAGTCCTTAACACTCAAACATGGTGGAGGACCCTAGTACTAAAAAGTACTTAACACTAAAAAACTTGGTGGAGGACCCTAGGACTTATGAGTCCTTAACACTCACAAACCGGTGGAGTATCCAAGGATTATGATCCTAAAACTCATAGATTATGATATACAAATAGGGACAAGGAGGAGTCCTATACACTCATAGGTATATGGGTGGGTTGGGGTTTTTGGTCAAGAATATTGACTATTACTATTTTTCCCAAATGAACGGTGATCTACGGATCGGATATTTTCCAAGTATAAATATACTAATAAGTATTTCATAACTTGGGGGAAAGACTATTTATTTAAGTATCACCCTATGTTTGGGTCTTATACTTGAAACGCTAGTTATTCTATATTTAGCCTGCTACTCGCTCGGTACTTGTACTGACCCCTTCGGGGGGCCCCACCATTTTCAGGTTGAAGCTAGGGCTTGCTACTTGCACCTTCTCACGGGTGATATCAAATCAGGAAGACGTGGTTCGTGCTTCCTTATTTTCTTTCAAACTACCGAACACTTGCTCATGGATATTTGTTCTACTATAAACTATTTTTGGGGCTTGCATGCCCATGTTGTTGGCCGGTTGTGGCTTATGATTTACCGTTGAATATTTCCGCTATTCATTGGTTTAAATGTGATGTTGTTATGTATGTTTACTACTGAGTATGGATGGATTGTTTTCTCGAACGCCTTGTGTAATTAAGTGGGGTTGACTCGCGGGTGACGTCACTTAATTATACGGCGGTTGTACACGCGCTTGGATTTCGGTCTGGGGCGTGACAATATCTCTTTGTAGAAACATCCAATGTACACGATTCAAGCTCCATAGGAAAGCAAACTTCAAGGGCTACAAATCATATGAAGACATCTTTGCGAGAATCTGAGAGGAAGGAGGTGAAAACAGACGATGAAGTCAGATGATCTCTGCTGCGATTTCAGAAAGACACCTCCCACCGTTTTGATCATATCTCTTGATTGGATGATTCAAATCACATTCGGCAAATTGGGGTGGATAGAGGACTTCATTATCTACAACTTTCATGAAGGAAGTTTTGTCAAATTCGGAAGTTCAGTAGGCACGATCGTGCCCTCAAAGTCAGACACGATCGTGCGTGAAGAGAAAACACGGAGGAGTTACTGCCAGCCAGGCATGATCGTGCCTGGAGGGAGGCACGATCGTGCCTGCCCAAAATGCGCGTTTTTGCTCCGGAGGCACGATCGAAGGCACGATCGTGCCTGGCTCCGAAAATCCTAATTCAGCTCAAATTTCACCCGATTTTTCTATTTAAACAGCCTGTAAACCCCCGTTTTCAAGGGGGGGCTTAGAGAGAGTGCCTAGCACGAATTTTAGAGGGATTTTCAGCCTTGTTCATCAATCTTTTGGGATTCTTTGTAAGTTCCACCTTTTTAATTAATGACAATTAATTCTTTTTATTCCAATTCTATTGATTCTTCCATTATGAATTGTGAGTAGTTTTAATTAGGGATTTGAGATTGATGAAGGGGTTAATCATGATGTATGTCTAGTTTCTTGATGGATTAATTGCATGAATGGCGTTTAATTTGTGTTTGAATAATTTAATTGATATCTTTTGTAACCTAGAATCGCGACTAGAATTACAATTGCATGTAGAATAAATTAAGAGAGATCTAATTTGTTCTAGGACACATTCACACACACTTAATCGTTCGCTAAGAGATTAGTAGCGATTAAGGGGCCGTAAGCTCGCTCGTCTTGGCAATAATTTAGGATCCTGTCGCATGAGAGATCAGCCTGGTCCCCTAAATTATTGTACTCTACGCCCTGAGAGCGGTAAGAACTTAGTAATGATTAGCTAGGCTCAATTAAATTAATTTCATGTAATTAGGCCCGATCTGCCAGAAATCTGGTTACCCCGGAATCAATCCCTGTTCCCTTCGTCATTAATTAGAAAGACCCCCCTTGTTTAATTGTTCGCATTAGTTTTATTTTCCAAACCAACCAATCTCGCACGACGCTTTTATTTTATTTTCTTTTTAATTGCTGAATTTAATTAATTCTTGATTCCCTTTTGTCCGTCCCTGTGGAGACGATACTCGTACTTACACCACTATATTACGATCTATTTTAAGTGCGAGAAAACTCACATCAGTTCACGATTGAATCTGTAAAATCTGTCTGAAAGTTGTTTAGTACGTGTACTCGTTTTTAATATAAAGCCGCTCTTATATGATAAAAAAGTTTTTTTTTCAATATAAAAGAGCGGCTTTTTTATATTAGTATCAAGAAATCATATAAAGCAACCTCCAGACAGTTATGCCAGAACCAATTGTAAGCTCTATGAGTAGACATAGAATCAGTCAACTCATACAAAACAACATGATTTGCTAGACACAAAAGCTTAAAATAACCAGAACTGAAACGCCGTCTATATCAAAAGTATTCTAGAAATTCAAATATCTAAACCAAACTTTGAAGTAAAATAAACATAACTATTACTAAAGAAAGTAGAGTTAGTATTAACCATGACACAGTGTCGCCCCTGAGGTAAAAAAAAGTAGAGTTAGTAAAGTTATGAATGAGATAGTTAAAATTGCTAAACTAACGTGATATAGTACATATAAAATATATTTTCCTAATAAAGCAAAAAAAGCAACATCCAAAAATGAGGACCATTGGTTTTCATTTTGACTCAATTTTTATAGTTAGTTTAGAGTTTTTTTTCCAAAAAAATTATTAAAATAAAACTTATTTACACAAGTATGACTAATAATTACTACAATATAATGTAATTGTGACTAGTAACATTTTCGTAAACAATCATTATTATATTAAAAAATATGTAATTATTTCTTTAGTTTTGATGATGTAGTATATGGTTTAGGCTATTTTATCTAGGTAATGGTTATTTGTATTTTATTATATCCTTCTGTCCTATTCAAAGATTTTCACTTTCTTTTTTTAGTCGTCTCAACTAAAGATTTTCATTTTATATTTTAGGAAACATTTAACATTATTTTTCATGGTGAAACAATTATCATTCTTAAATAACAATTAATCATCATACATTAAAAATAGGGAAACATAATATAAATACACCAAACTTTGATGGAGTGTGAAATAATTACTCTAAACTTGCTTATGTAATATATATACCTCAAACTTTATCTAAAAAGTTATTTTCCCATCATGGTTGTGTTTTTTAAGAGTATAAACTTATTGGAATAATTACATAATTTAAAATACTCTAAGCTTTGTTAGGATGCAATTCACATTCTAAAATTTCATTTGTGAAATAAATAATATTACATCAGGTACAATTTATTTCCAATTGCATCCTCATAAATGTTTTTTGTATTCTATATTATGCACTTAACACCATACATTACATTTGTAAAAAAACATATGGTCATGGTGTTAACATAATTTTTTATATAAAGTTTGGGGTAAATATATTACATGTGTGCATGTTTGAGGTGCTTATCTTACACCCCGTCAAAGTTTGGGATATTTAAATTATTTTTCCCTTAAAAATAACACATCTATAACATCACAATTATTATCATTGATAATCCAATGTATTATATACTCATCAAAACTTTTCTCAAAATATACTCAAATTATCATATTTAATTATTGTTTAAATAATGATGCAATGAGATCATTTGAACGAGACAAAGATAGTAGTTCATAGTCTATCTTGATCAACATGATCTAGTTAGGTACGATGTGTTTAAATCTGATTTAATTTGATTTGACTTATTTAAATTTGATGTGTCCTGTTATGTTTTATTTGAAAAAAGAATTTGTTTCAAATATGAGCAAAACATAGACAAAATACACAAATACTAGTAATCATTATTATTTCCAAAACAAAAATTATTTGATTCTATTATTTCCAAAACTTCTCTAACTAGAAGCTAACGAAAATATACCAATTCTGATTATCTTACTATAATAAGCCCCTTTTGTATTTTATTACAAAATTGACCAATTAAAACTTAATAACAAGTTGAAATGGGAGACAATCAAACCAAAACTTTTGACTTCATCTCAATTATCAGCTAATTTACAAAACTGTTTGACATGTGTGACATGTACGGCTTATAATAATGTTCTTGGCTGCTTTTAGATGAGCGTAGTCTTGACTCCAACCACCTACCTCCACAGGCCCCAACCCCTCCACAGCACTCCCAGCCTTCAATCTCACACACGTTTGGCGTTCAAAGGTTGGCGTTTCCTTGGCATCATTTATATGGAATCAAGCTTTTTCCTACTACCCTCAATTAATTCCTGGCCCTCCACCCTCCTCATAAACCCTCCATTACTACAAATTTCCACAGTAACTTTAAAGAACCCAAGTTTGAACTCAACTTTCCTTAATTTGGAGTGCTAGTGGGAGCAAACGTAGATTTTGCCTTTTCTTGGCTGATTTCAAGAATCCACTTTTTTGACCCAGAATAAGTAAGTTCCGGACTTGGCTCAAAGATTGCATCTTTTCCCTGAAAATTTCACTGGTTGAGTTATGGAGGGGGATAATAGTGGCGTTGAGTCCAAGTCAAAGATGGAAGACTATGAATTGCTCGGGCAGATTGGGAAAGGGGTTCATGGAACATCATTTCTCGTTCTTCACAGAGCTGAGGATAGGAAGTAAGAATCTTGCTCTTTTTTCATCTTTCCCTTTTTGTTGCTGCAGTTGCACTTGGTATGAACTAGGGCTTCTGTGTGTATTAGGGTATGATTAATTTGAGGTTAACGGTTGATCTAAGACAAGTTTAATCTCATCTATACCAACATGTTAAATTTCTATCTCTGTACTTCCAAATGGTTCTGTTTTCTTTTCCTTGTTCTTTTCTGTAAGGTTTGTTTGGTTCAAGAATTTCAAGAGTAACAGAAGGAGAGTGTTGTTTTTTATCATACTGATATATTTCTATTAGTTAGCTTTAAACTAGATTTAACTATATTAAGTCAGATCATTTTTTATCTCCACTTTAATTCTGACCAGCTAAATGCAGAAAATATATTAAATATAAATATCACCCCTCCCCTCTGATATCCTCGAAACCAAACAAGCCCTTTTTTTTTACAAAATTAAACCTGTGAACAGGCTGCTAAGTTCCTCACTCTTTCTGTTTTGCAATTCTCTTTTCGCAGTAGTGTGTAATTGCTCTCATATTCTCTTCTGTATTTCACTATGTCACCATGTGGGCTTTTCACCTTTGGTTTTGTTTTTATTTTGTTGTACAGCATACTATGAGTACAAACTACCTTGCCGCTCGTTTTTTATTAGATTATATTCTCAAGATTGTGAAAAGATGTTTTATTGTAAATTATTCATAAAGTTAGGTTTTTATGGATTTTCATTTTCTTCTTATTTTCTATATGTATGCAGGTATGTTCTTAAGAAGATTCCATTGACAAAACAGACTGAGACGCTCAAGCGGGCTGCATATCAAGAGGTTTAGCAACAGCTTTCCAATTTACTGATATATTTATTTGCTGCTAAATACATTAACACCTTTTTGTATCTGTGCTTCCCCATTTTTTTGTTATCATTAATTTCTCCATTTCCATAATCTTCTACTAACATTGTATTCAACTTGATCTCGCATGGCTTACCTAAAACGTCCTTCATAGTTTCTTTATTATTGTGATAAAAACCGTCTATGTGGTGTTTGAGACATTGACGATTTGTGCAACAATAATTTCTCAGTATGATAATACTGAGTTTTATTTAAAATTTACCAATTACCTAACTTGCACAGTCACTTTCCCGCCGGTTAATTTCCTCGCTTCACTATGTGTTCTTCGCAGACATTTATGAGTTACTATTTCTCCTTCTCACTATGTGTTCTTCCAAGTCATATCATGACTTGCTAGTCTGGAAGAATAGTATATTAAGAGAAAACTTTCCTAGGTTAAAGTCTTAAAGAGATTATTCACACAATGTGGTGGTCTTAAATTCTTAATATATTTTGCCTATTCATTTATGAATTTATTATTCTGCAGATGAGTTTGAATGCTAAACTAAGCCACCCATACATTATGGAGTACAAAGATGCCTGGGTGGAAAAGGTATCTTATCCTTAATGCTGGAAAGTCACAATTCTTGAAACTCAGGGTGAACAACTATTATTTGGTCCTTGCACTATGTTACTGATAATGTCCTACATAACAGAAAAACAAACTGAAAGAGTAAAGTATTCTTTTTGATCTTTAGATCAGGGGCTATCATGTTTGAAGTCTTTGTTCAGAGACCAAAGTGATATATCAATCATAGTTCACGGATTTATTATATATTCTACTCTTGAGATTTTATACAAGTTGTTCAAGCTGCTTCTGAATTAACTAAAGTCTTTAATTTGCAATATATTTCAGGGAAATTATATATGCTTCATTACGAATTACTTTGAAGGCGGAGATATGTGAGTAGTTATTGCAC